AAGTTTAGGCGATTGATGGAGAAGTGGGAGGCGTTAAAGATTGACGCAAACGGAAGCCGGGAAACCTAACGAGAGAGGACCAGGAAGTGATCTCAGGAGCCGCAGCCCGCAGTGCCGAGTGCCCGGTTCCCTGTCGTTGCTCGGGGTCCTGCACGGTGGGAGCCGCGCGCTGCAGACCCGGGTGCGGAGGACGCGGCGGGTCCGCGGGGACCTGAGCCCTCGGGATCCGCGGTGTCCGCGCTCGCGGGGCGGCCTGGGAAAGTCAGCAGTCAGCAGCGCAGTGGCGGGAACCGCAGCCCGGCGGCCCTGGAAGCTCCCAGGTCAGAGGAGCTGCGGGGCTGGGACCCGGGAGGGAGGGAGGAGCGGGCTGTGCTCCCGAGCTGCTCACAAGGACCCCGTCAGCTCCCGCCGGCTGCCCGTGGGGTGGAGGAGGCGGCGGCTCAGCTCGTCCCCTGCGGCCAGGTGCGCTCGTTTCCACCCCACGAGCTGGGTGCTGCCCCGGGCGCCGGGCGCACCCCTTAAAAGTGTCCGTCTGTCCCGGTCTCTCTGGCTCCTGGTTTGCTCTCTGACCGCTCTCTGTCTGGGGTCTCCGTCTCTCCCGTCCCCATCCGAGACGGCCTTTGCTCTTTTGCTCGCCCTCCTCCCCAGGGACCTCTCCCCCTAGACCTGTTGCCCATGGCGAGTTCTCTTAGCGGCCAGGGGCGCAGCCAGAGCTGCCCAGTTTCCACCGCTTTATCCTCAGACACAGCTCTCAGTGTTGTGTTGTTGGTGTCTTTCCATTGATGGTGGGTTTCAGACGCCATGAAGGGGGCATTACTGTGTGTTGCTTTATTTTTTCTTCACTTACCTTGCGGTTGCCAGACCTTAAGGTTGTCATAAAATAATTCTTGTAATAATTTAGGACAGCATTTGCTTTGTCTGTTGTTTTAAACCAGGTTATCTTTCTTATGGTGGTAATTCTAGAGCTCCTGCAATTTAAATTATTCCATGCTTTCTGAAACCCCCGTTTTACCATTGCCTCTTAAAAACATGTCCTTTGTATCCGATTTCATGTTTGGTTTGTGACATATTATGCAGATAGATTTCAAGAAATCACTGAAGGAAAATATAAATACATACTCTCTTGTTATTTTTTGTTTCCTTTTAAAGATAGTGTGCAGTGTATTCCATTCCTTTATAAACTTGACTACTAGTTTCTCCTGGTTTTCTCTTTGTCTTGTTAGGTGTTCACAAAACTACACACTGACTTGCCTGGTTGCGGCAGTGAGTTGCATTCCCACTGACACTGTGGTAGGTATTGGTTTTTATGGTTTTGGCAATTTCATTGATCTTGTGTTTGATCAATTTCTCTCCCGTGTTTGTTCAATTTCACTCCCGATCCCCCAGGTCATAATGCTTTCTCACACCTGCATATTCACACTTTTAAAAAGTACTGAGTCCATGACAGTCATATGTGCCTAGGCTACATCTCTCAAGAATACTACTGACTCTGCCTTTTCCAAGGCCAACAGTTGCTTAGAGTGTGTCAGGCAGTGGTGTGATGATCATTTTTACCTTGCTGGGTATTAAGCTTGGTTAATATTGTGCAGGATTTTTGCATGCAGGTACAGCTTCTGTGGAGCTAGTCGTGCAATGACACTCAAGTGATAGATGTGGAGACCAGATGAGCTGTGCCTGTGCTGTAATTTCATCAGAACCCTGAATACTTTGCAACCATGAACACACGGTTCATATCACAGCAGCAGCAGTCCATGGGGGAAAGACACCATTCAGCTGGACTGTTGTAGCAGCCCCAGCAGACATCGCAGCGACCCTGGAACTTCCCAGGTGACAGAAGCTGCGGTGCTGGGAGCAGGCAGGAACAGGTCCAAGGATGTTATCCATTCTGTGCTGCTGCTCATCACAACATGGAGTCTTACATTTGCTATGGATTTGGTAATGCTACTAGTAAATTTTAGATCAAGAGAAATTATCCTGTTTTCAATTCACCTTATGATTGCCAGGACATTTACAGAAGCACAGTCTGCTAGAGAATTTGCATTACATGTCTGCAAACATGGTGCTCTTTGCTATTTCGACAATTCTAAAGCTCCTGGAATTTAAATTTGTCCATGCTGTCTTTCTTGTTTTACGATTGGCCTAATCAAGAGTGGCCTTTCCATGACATCTAGTCATTCCCTGAGAACTTTTTAGATATGAGTCGCAGAAGATACCACTGCAGGTTTTATGGAATCAGCAAGTATATTTTTGTAAGTTTTATGGGTATGGTCCTAAACTATCATATTTACTAAGCAAATTTTTTTCTCCAGTATATTTTGCATCTGAGTGTTATCATAAAATCTTTTGAAGTTTGTCTGTGACATCTCTTTCTAGTGTTATTTTCATATTCTAAAGCTTTTATTCATGGAGCTTTTATTCATGATTAGTTTGCTCATATTTTTGTGGGTAAAAGGAGGGTTGGTAATTTTCTTCTAGTTAGAAATGGTATTCTGCTGGTTTGTGTGTTGAAAATAATCCTGTCCTTCCAAGCTCTCCTATTCATCTATCCGTTTGAAAAATGCCTTATTTCCTGGGTTGCCATTGCTTATTTAAATCTGATTTTTCTATGTAAACTTTGCCTCTAATTATGATCTGCAATGAAGCTTGAGCAGATGATTTCTGTCATTTTATAACCTTCTGCATATGCCCTTCCTTCTCCATGCATTTTAAGAGCCCATGTTTCTGGGTACAATGATAAGGTTCATAGTCATTTTCTTTCAGCACATTAAATGTATTCTTCCATGTTTTCCTGGTGGTAGAAATGTTTACAAGATACCAGGTATCTTTGGCTTTGGGGAATCTTTTTATATGATTTGGCATTGACTATAACAGAGTTGTATTATTTTCAGATTTCTATTTTTGACAACAGGATGTGAAATTTCAACAGGAATTCCAGTTTTTTTTTTTTTGTTTTTTTTCTGAGAACTCAGAGAAGAGCAACAAGAACAATGGATGTTTCTGTGGCAAATGCTCCCCAGGTCAGTGTCATGTTCACATTTCTCTGAAAATTGTTTTTATTATTGAAAATATTCAAAATTTTAATTCTGTACCACTGGCAATGTTATTGACAGTATTTATTTTTGCTTTATTTATCTGTTTTTCCTTTCCTTTTCTTTTCTTTTCTTTTTTTTTTTAGACAGGGTTTTTCCTGTGGCTGTGGAGGCTGTCCTGGAACAAGCTTTGGTAGACCAGGCTGGGTCTTGAACTCACAGAGATCCACCTGCCTCTGCTTCCAGAGTTCTGGGATTAAGGGCATGCACCACCACCACCACCTGGCTCAGTTTTTTATTTTCTTACATTTAAGGTTATGTCTTTAAATCTTTCAACTATGTATCTGAGACTTGACCCATTGTATTTTCTCTTGGTTTTATAATATGAGGCTATGAAATTCTATGTACTTTAGACTTGAAGTCTAAAATACAAGCTGTAGTAATGTCATTCAAGTAAAATATCAATGGCCATTTTGTACAATTTTGTACACAGAATGTCCCTGTGTTCTTTTGTAACAGCGGTGAAGGGTGGTCTGTGCCACATAGTTCCATTTCTGGAATTGACAGTTTTCCAGAAACAGTCTTATGGATATGGACATGGCAATACATGGACCTTTTCAAAGACACCACTGAGCAATTTATATTATAGAAAAGTAGAATTAGAAGAGACTCACTGTCTAGAGCCCTAATGATAAATATTTTAGCACCCTAGGAAGCACAGATAATGGAAGTAATAGGTGGGTTCTCTCGCTAGAAAGTTGGAACTGTCTGTGAGGAGATGAAGCTTGTAGTATTCTGGTTTCTCTTTTTGCCATAATATGTCACACAGTGATATGGGGTTTGTTGACACTTGTAATGTATGACTCTCAGGAGACATTCTGTTCATAGGTCAATTCTTTTTCTTTATCTTTTCTTTCATTTTTCACAAGGGGCATGAGCACTTTTGTTTCCTCATTTATATGGCATTATGTGGGATATATTAATAAGAATTTTCTAGAGAGTACTGACTTGGTGCTGCACATAAGCCATAAACAATGTCCCTCTTAATTACTTTGCTCTTTTCTTATGGAGGAAGAAGGCCCTTCTCTAGCTCATGTTTTTCCTGTTGCTGAATGTTTCTTTTACACAGGGAGAAATTCTGAAGCATTGTGTCAATGTTTATATTTTTTCTTTATAATCATATTTTATTTAAGTATATGAATGTTTGTTTGCATATTTCTATTGACAGTGTATGATTCATTATGCTGCTGGATTCCTGAGGTCAGCACCAAACCCTTGACACTGTAGTCAGACATTGTATTGTCACATATACCTTGTTTTTACACACACACACACACACACACACACACACACACACACAGAGAGAGAGAGAGAGAGAGAGAGAGAGAGAGAGAGAGAGAGAGATAATTATTCAGTGGTGGAATTCATGAAATTGTTATTTTCAGTATTGATTGTGTCAACTTTTAGAAAACTTCAAATAACGTTAATGTTGTCTAATTCTACTTCTCTGTTTACTTCCTGGTTTAAATATTCCTCATGAAATAGCTTCACAAATAATTCATTCTATGTGCTATATGGAGCATTGGATATATGCAATGATTTCACATTGCTTACTCTCAAGAAAATCTGAATTTAATTCATACATAGATTTTGCATTCCATATCCTACCTCTTTGTTCTACACAGGGTACAGATTGTACCTAGGCCTCAGGATCTGAACTGAGCATTTTGGAATAGAGTCATGTGAACCCAGCTTCAGACAGCATTGATCTAGTGTCCATATTTAAGCAAGGTCAACAGGTGTACAACATCAAAGCATACTTTTACTCATTATAACTTTAACATCACAGATGTGACAATGAGATTCTGTTTGATATCAGCACATATTTCATAAGGTACATTTCTGCATGTAGACCTCAAATATGTAGGTTATATTCCCTAAAAGTTTGCTGGTTGCAAGAAATTATGTCATCATGTTTTCATACAGATGGAAAGTACAATAGATTCTGAATAGCTGACTTAGAAAGTATCTTTTATTAAAATTAAATTGTAATTTTATGTATTTCCATAAATATTTTCCAAAATGTATGTGCACTGTATATGACTCCTGCCTATAAGGTGCATCACTGTATCTCATGGATCTGAAAGTAATTTCTGTTTTGTAGTGCCATGAGCGTGCTGGGAATTAATCTACCTTTTCAAGGACATTAAGACATTACAGACTGCAAACCAGAGAAACAGTTTTCAAATTGGTGATTATGGCAAATCTTCTCTCTGCTACTTAGGTCTTAGAAAATATCAGAAAATTCATGGAGGAGAGAGACCCAAGGATGTAAGCCATGTATTATGTCTTCCTGTACATTGTCTTTGAAACATCAACAATGCAGCACTTCTAGAAAAGTCTTGTCTGTTTAAAGGTGCCATGCCTCATCTATATCACAAACATCTCTCTAATTCATTAGGTCTGTTTTAGGCAAGAAATCATTTTGTGCAGCAGTGCATGGTAATTAGGTAATTTTCCATTGCAGGGTCTGTTATCATTCAGGGATGTGTCTGTGGACTTCTCACAGGAGGAATGGGAATGTCTAGACTGCGCTCAGAGGGCTTTGTACATGGATGTGATGCTGGAGAATTACAGCAATCTACTTTTTGTGGGTAAGAGTTCCCTTCTCTTAGGATTCTTGATTCATCATTTTTATTTCTGTACTTTTGTGTATCTGTAAACTCTCTGAAACTAGAAAATCCCAGAAATGTGCATAATATTGGTTACCAACAAAACTTTTTATCGGTGCTTCATTTACATTGTCTGTGTTCTGTAGAAGAGTAAAGAATGCTTAGTTTTCTGTGATCTCTTTAGCCCTCCTAAAAGAACATTTCAAAGTCAAAGAATATTGAATCATCGGGACATGGAAATATATTGTAGTACTTATCATAATTAGAATGTTTTAATTTTGTTTCTGAATATAACTATTCACCTATTTCTTATTATAAGCAATGCAGAAGGTTTTTCCAGGAAGGGCTGTTTGTTATGAGAATGCTGTTGTGTTTATTTATTTATTTTTGAGATATGATTGCTATGTTAATAATGGCACAGAGTTGGCTGCTTCCAACAGCCTCAATACAAAGGCAGGAGCTTAGATATACCTTGTCATTATATACTATGCTTTTGACACCCATGTGAGGCCTGCCTTTTTTAGAAAACAAATGATGGAGTTGTTGGGGGCATGATGGAGAGGCAGGGAGAGGGAAGAGGAAGAGAGGAGGGAAGGGATCCTGCAGTCAGCATGTCAAATAAGTGAAAAAAAATGGGAAAAAAGAATGAGTAGGCTCTTATTTGTCCCTGTGGTTTGATATAGATCAGATTGGAGATTCTTTTGAGCATCCATTTCATGATTGTGAAATAGAAGTTTCCTTTTTTCTGAGTGCTATCCCTGAAAGTTACGAGTCTATATGTCATAGAAAACCTAAGAAACATCAGGTGTTGAATCAGTTATTTTGCATTAATTGCTCTTCTTCACATCTGTACTAATTTTTCAGAGAACCAGCGGATATATGGTAAATGTGAGAAGCTCTTGCACCAAGGCACAAGACATTTTATCCATTATCATGAGAATATTCAAGAGAAGTCTTTTACATGTAATGAGTCTGGCAAAGAGATTCATGAATCCTGCCAATGTACACCTTATGACACAAGAGATACTGATGAAAATTACAAGAACTACAGATTTGTTAAACACAGAGATGCCTCTAATGAAGCCTTAAACCTCAAGAGATACAAAATTGGGAATGCTGAGGAAGAACCTTGCAAATACTATGGAAACTTTTTATATTTGTATTCCATCATTGACCAAAATCAAAGAACTCACACAGGAAAGGAAGACTACAAAAATATGGAGTATGATGCATCTTTTGATTCTAATAGAGAAATCAAACTGAAAGAAACTGGTTGCAGAAAGCATCCACATGGATGCATTCAATGTGGTGAATTCTTCAAGAGTCACTCAAGCCTTATTATGCTTCAGAGATCCCATACTAGAGAGAAACCCTATAAATGTACAAAATGTAGTATATCCTTTCTGCAAATTTCACAACTCAAAGTACATGATAATATTTGTTATAGAGAAAATCAGTACAAATGTACAGAATATGGTAAGTGCTTTTATTATTTATCAAAGTTTCAAAGACATTTCGGCATCCACATAGGAGACAAGTCTTACAAACATAGAGAAAGTGACAAATCTTTTATTGAGAAATGCAATCTTACATATCATCAGAGAATCCACACAGGAGAGAAACCTTACAAATGTAGTGAATGTGACAAATCTTTTTCCAAGAAAGACCATCTTAGAACTCATGAGACAATCCACACAGGAGACAGACCTTACAAATGTAGTGAATGTGATAAATCTTTTACTGAGAAGTCCCATCTTACAGTTCATCAGAGAATCCACACAGGAGAGAAACCTTACAAATGTAGTGAATGTGACAAATCTTTTTCCAGGAAATACCATCTGAGAACTCATGAGAGAATCCACACAGGAGAGAAACCTTACAAATGTACTGAATGTGACAAATCCTTTTGCAGGACAGATGAACTAAGAATTCATCAGAGAATCCACACAGGGGAGAAATCTCACAAATGTAGTGAATGTGACAAATACTTAACCACAAAACACAGTCTTAGAATTCATCAGAGAACCCACACAGGAGAGAAACCTTACAAATGTAGTGAATGTGACCAATCTTTTTCCAGGAAAGACCATCTGAGAACCCATGAGAGAATCCACACAGGAGAGAAACCTTACAAATGTACTGAATGTTGCAAATCTTTTTCCAGGAAATACCATCTGAGAACTCATGAGAGAATCCACACAGGAGAGAAACCTTACAAATGTACTGAATGTGTCAAATCCTTTTGCAGGACAGATGAACTGAGAATTCATCAGAGAATCCACACCAGAGAGAAATGTCACAAATGTAGTGAATGTGACAAATACTTAACCACAAAACACAATCTTAGACTTCATCTGAGAATCCACACAGGAGAGAAACCTTATAAATGTAGTGAATGTGACAAATCTTTTTCCCAGAAATGTCTTCTTATAGCTCATCAGAGAATACACAGGAGAGAACCCTTACAAATGTTGTGAATCATTTACCAGAAAAGGCCATCTTAGAACTCATCAGAGAATACATATATTAGATGACATTTATAAATGCTACAAGTTTGTGAAATCCTTTACTGTTGTTTCCAAATCTTAGAATATGTTCTGGAATATTTCTGCATACTGTGCAAAGTGAGTTTTAAGAATATCAACCTTGCTTAAGTGGGCGGAACCCACAACTATTGACATGAAGTGGCCATAGACTACGAAGGAGTATGAAGACTGGTAGACTCACAGGAAGGAGTAGTGAGTCACTTGAATATTTGAGCTCTTCTGGCTTGAGATTCTTGAAGAGACCCTCTCTTGCTGGGTCTTTGGCAAAAAGGAAGGTAATTTGGTTGCTTATTGACCTCTCTGAAATAGCAGGTTTTCACCCCAGCATCTGACTCCCCAGTCATCTTAGAATACATTAGAGAATTCATTAGGAGAGAAATCTTACAAGTGTGTTTAGCTTGTTTGGTTTTTTTTTTTTTTTTTTGTGTGTGTGTGTGTGTTTTTCTCTGAAGAGACACCTTCACCATTGCAATGCTTCTAAAGGAAAACATTTAATTTCCCTTCAGAAGAAAGTTAAATCTGAAATTTAGTCCATTATCGTCATGGTGGGAAACACTGACATGCAGGCAGACACTGTGCTAGAGAAGCAGCTGAGTCATGGTCTACATTTAGATCCTTGGGAAGCAGGAAGTGAACTGTGTTCTTGTTGTGGCTTGAACACATAGGAGAACTGCCTTGATGGTGAAACACTTCTTACAATGCCACACCTACTTAAACAATGGTATTCCTCCTAATAATGCCAGTCCCTATGGGTGAAGCATTCAAACATGAGCCCTTGGGGCTATACATATTGAAACCACCATAGTAGCCAACATGAGAAACGATTTGTCTAAAAATCATTCTGATAACACATCCAAATATTCATATAGGAGTGAATACTTTAAAATGTCTTTAACTGCTTTTCACATCTAAGAACGTTTGTGAAAATTCATACCGGGGAGAAAAATTTCCATGGGAAAAAATTGGCATGTCCTTAAACCAAGCTCTATTCTTAGGCTCTTGAGACTCCAAACTAGAGAACTATTATGAACATAAAAAATTTTTGAAAGAGTAAGTTATTTTCATATCTTGGGTTGACAATTTTCATTAAAACTTTATTTGTTGAACCTCAAATACTTCATAATGAACAAGAAATGCAGAACCCTGAAGTATGTGGTGTTGTGTAAGTGTCCTGGAGACAGGAGTGATCCATTCTGAGGGACAGATGATTGGAGCAGGAAATATAGCACTCAAAATAGCTTCAAGAAATCTCTAAGCCCAACAGAATTCAGTGTGCTTAACTCACGTGGAGAAACTGAGAGAAGTCATGTCCCTTAGAAGATTTTAAGCATTAAGATAGGATTCTCTTTCACTTATAGCTATGCCTACAGGTGTGCACTATCCTTCAGGTGTGCATTATTCTTAAGCTGTAGCTCATGCTGGCTTTGAATTTCATGATAGCAACTGTGTTGGAGTCCCTTATGCTCTGGTAAGCAACTGCTTCTACATATTCCTGTAATCAATTCCAATAAAGCTCTTTGGTTCAAAAGTTGAACTTCATTCTGTTTCTAGTTTCCAGATGGGGTGATTAGATGAATATGCATGTTGCACCTCCCCAGGAATTGTATTTCAGAAACATGTGCTGAACTCACTAATTGTTTCTCCAAATTTGTTGGAAACAGAAACTTGATAATAGTGCAGCAGTTCTTAACCTGTGGTCCATAACTTCTTGGGATTAAAATACCCTTTCACAGGGGACCCTACGATAAATGAAAACATATTTTCAATGATCTCAGGAACTGAGATACCATGCCTTTATTGTCTCTGTGGGTAAATTTGTCAGATTCGCTTTCCTTGTGTATGTGAATTAAATCTTTTGGAGCTTCATTGTGGATTTGATTTAATTACACAAAATTTATCACTGTGATTATAACAATAATATGTTCTATTCCATGTAAATCAAGTTTTTCTGATCTGGCAGCCTCAATTCCTTCAGTAATGCCAATTCTATTTCTGTTTTACCTGTGTCTCTTGTGCTTGGTTAACTTTTTTCCCAGTTACCTATTTTCCACTTACTGTTGATCTTTGAATAATAGAAGCAAAAATAGAGATTGCAAGAATTTTCGTGCTGTTTGGTTGTTTATAGGATGGAATGTTCTGCCTCCAGTAGACATTGATATGTTCTCACATGGTTTGTTTTTATTAATTTTGTTTAGGTTTTGTAAATAATGAATATTGATATTTAATTTTTTCATAGGTGAATTCATTCACCGTTACCCCTTCTTCATCCTCTGTCCCCTACCTGGTCAAAATGCCTTCTTCCCAGTTTTCCTCCAATTTTATTTATTGCTTTGGTCCAGGTAGCCAGGCCTTAATATACCCATAATTCCAACTGCCATGTCATATGCAAGAGAGTTTTTCATGTCTCATTTCCCCATCCTTCGGCTCTTAAAATTGTTTGCCTCCTCTACTCTAATGTTCTTTGTAAATTAAATAGGGGAATAGGGAATTCTCCTAGTAGTCTCCCCTGAAAAACAGTGAATGGTTCTCAGCGTTTGACCAGTTATGAATCTCTGAAATACCTGTTGCTCATTGAAAACCATGTTTCTTAGAGCTAAGTTGAAAGCGGAACAAGTATATGAGTGTCAACATGGACCTTCACCACACTGGATATCGGCCAAATTGCCTGTGCCATGTATATATTTTCTTTTGTAGAGACAGCCTCAGTTCAAACCAGAAGGCATTCTACTACTCACTAAATACTCTCACCACTATGACACCTTGCAGGTTGGTATTGTAGCACACAGGATCCCAATCTGGGTATGGATTTTATTACCCCCACCTTGTGCTCAAGCCTGCCAAGCAGTTTTTGATACTGTGAATGTTACCACCTGGGAATCCAAGATGTTTTTAGGAAATGTGAGTTGTCTTCTGACTGTTTTGCATTCTCTTCTGTTATTGAAGAAAAAAAAAACAAATACAAGTGTCATGAGATATGGATTACATAGCTTATAAAGAGGGCTATGAGATCTGAATATTTTCATGTGTATTTCTGCCATCAAATTGCAGAATTGGTGTCTTCTCTAAGAGATCCAATTTCTCATTGTTCCATATTCCCTCCTTTAAACTTTCTCTGACCTTGAGCTGTGTACCCACTGATGCAATTCACTGAGAGGATGAGACTCCCTTCTCTGTCTTGATTAGATTGAAATGATTCCAGCAGTCCCATTGTATTATTAGGTTTAGAATAGGGTCCCATTGCCTTTATTATATTGAGGTGTATTGCATTTGTCCTCACAATTTTCAGAGCATTATTAAGCAGCAAATATTGTGTTTTGCCACAGGTCTTTCATGGATATATTGACATTTTTTTTTCTCTCACTAAACTGCAGATTTGGTGTTTTACATGGATCAGTTCACACTGGTTGAAACATTATTGTGTATTGGCATTTAAATCATCTCTGAATCCAGTTCCATGTAATTTAGAGGCAATCTCTGTCTATCTAAACCCTGGTAACTAGTCTGTGTGATTCTTCTAAGCATATATTTGTCCAGATTCATTTGCTTTAATTGTTAAGCCCAGCTTTGTACAATGACATTCTGACATTCATTTTCTACCATTTCTTTTTTTGTTTCTTTTTTTGTTTGTTTTATATAATATTCTCCTTGTGTTATTAATATGTTTCCCTGCTTATGACTTTCTACAGTTCTACATTATGCAACTCTGATGCCATTGGTAACATTGTGATGTCTTCTTTTCAGCTCTAGTTCTATTACTTTGGGATTCATTCCTTCTGTTTGTATCAGGTGGAAAAAGCTCCATGTGAGTAGCTGCAGTGAGCCACAGCCAAGTGCTGGGTTGAACTCCTAGAGTCCCGTTGAAGAGAGGGAGAGGGATCATATGAACGATGGTGCTCAAAAGCATGCTGAGGAAAAATCACAGAGAGAGCTGACTCAAGCTAGTGGAAGCTTACAGACGATGGCCTGACAACTGTGGAAACTGCATGGAACCAAACGAGGAACTCTGAATGTTATGAAGTTTATCAGGCTTAATTTGTTGAGAGGGCCAGTGTCATTGGTACCAGGAACTATCCTGGGTGCATGAACTGTCTTTTTGGAGCCCATTCCCTATGATGGGAATATGTTGCTCAGCCTTGATAAATGGGTGAGAAGATTGGTCCTGCCTCAACTTTGTATACCAGATTTCGTTGACTCCCCAAGTAAGGCCTTAACCCTCTCTGACTGGTGGATGGAGGTGGAAAGGGAGAGATGTGAGTGAGAGATGTGACAGGGAGATGGGATGTAAAACAAATTTTAAAGAAGAAAAATGGCTCAACTGTATTTTTGTCAATTCACAGATACTATTCATTGCCTTGACTCATTGTATTTACATTTCTATTTTTTAAATTATTATACATCCTTTCTAATATCTTTCTCTGTACTATTTACATTGACTACATTTAATGCTTTTTGGCCCTCAGCTATGTAATTACGGACAAACATCTTTTAATAGCCAGGGACACTGTTGCCAGAACTTCTCAGTGTTTGTCACCCCACTTCTCTGTCATTGTTTTTCATAACTTGACACTCATTCCAACACTCTAAGAAACTGTGTTCAGCACTCCATGAATTCTGCCTCACTGTTCAGTGATCTAAGTCTCCACAATAGCTAACTAGTGTGCAATAAACAAAGCACTGGTGAGGTGGCTTAGCTGTTTAGAGCACTGGTTGCTCTTGTAGTTTCCCGGATCAATTCCCTTTACATATATGGTGACGTAACAGGTGTTTGTAACCCAGGTTTCCAAGGATCTATTCCCTTTCTTTGGCCCATGTACAAGGTGAGCAGACCCACCTGCAGGCAAACACCTATGCACATAAATTAAAATAGAGAAATCTTAAGAAAAAGAAACAATAAATGTTGTCACATAACAATTCAAGACACCAGATCAGAA